AATAAAAAATAATAATAATAATAACAATAATAACAATAATAATAATAATAATAATATAATAAGAATAATAATAAGAATAATTAATAAGAACAATAATAATAATAACAATAATAACAATAATAACAATAACAATAACAACATCAAGAACAATAATAACAATAACAATAACAATAACAATAACAATAACAATTAACAACAACAACAAACAACAACAACAACGAACAACACAATAACAACAACAACAATAATAATAATAACAATAATAACAATAACAACATCAAGAACAATAATAACAATAATAATAATAAGAACAATAATAATAATAACAATAATAATAATAACAACAATAACAATAATAACAATAATAATAATAATAATATAATAATAATAATAAGAATAATAATAACAATAATAACAATAACAACAACAACAATAATAATAATAATAATAACAACAATAACAATAATAACAATAACAACATCAAGAACAATAATAACAATAACAATAACAATAACAACAACAACAACAACAACAACAATAACAACAACAACAACAACAACAACAACAACAATAACAATAATAACAATAATAATAATAATAATAATAATAATAATAATAATAATAATAATAATAATAATAATAATAATAATAATAATAATAATAATAATAATAATAATAATAATAATAATAATAATAATAATAATAATAATAATAATAATAATAATAATAATAATAATGTTAATTCAATATGGGCAATTTGGGAATTGTATAAAAGAATTAAGGGCAAAAAGGTAATATACTTGGTCAACATAAAAGGGCTTTTAAGTTAAAAAAAAGAAGCTCCCCTCACCTAGCTTTTAGCTTAAAATAAGTCATTTCTGACTTAAAATAAGTCACTTTGATAATTGCCAAACACTCTAATAAGTCAAAAACTGGCTTTTAAGACAGTTTGACTAGCTTAAAAGCCCATCCAAACAGGCTCTAACTATGTTAAGAAAGACACTGAATCAAAAGCAGACTCACCAGCTCTTCTACTTATAAGGAAGCTTGTTTCCATAGGAGTTTGCAGTATGTACTTGCATTGGTGTATGGAAAAAGATGTACTGTTATTTTGTAAGTAGTGTGTGCAATCTCTTTCTGGAGGTTTATTGATTGGTCACCAATATTATGTTTATTATTGAATTGCAGGAGCTCTTTTCAGAAATTGGTGACCTAAAACGTTATGCTGTTCATTATGATAGGAGCGGGAGATCAAAGGTATTTTGTTGACCTAGACTATGCACTTTAAAGGAAAATAATGTTTGGCTGAAATTAGTGGAACACTGGAACTGCTTCTTCAGGGAACGACAGAGGTGGTTTTCTCACGTAGACAAGATACACTAGCTGGTGTTAAAAGGTTCAACAATGTTCAGCTTGATGGGAAGCCAATGAAGATTGAAATTGTTGGAACTAACATTGTCACTCCTACTGCCCCTTTTTCCAATGGTGCTTTTGGTTTTGGAGATACTAATGGAGCTCCTAGAAGATATGCTTTGTTACTAACCAAGATGTTAAATTGGATCAAAATTTTGTTTGAGATTTTCTATTCTGCTATTTGATGACATAAATGAAAATAAGTTTTTTTTATAAGATTGTTTTTTTTTTTTTTTAAAAAAAATTATTAGAGAATTTTATTAATAATCTCGGTCCATCAAAGGACAAACACCACCTTACACCTCCTTGGGCTAAAACCCAATCCCAAAAGAACAGCCCAAATACTAAAAAACAAACTATTAATAAGCTAGAATCCTAATCCATCTAGACAGAGGCCCAATCCATTCTTATACTGGTGTTAAAGTAAGTGTCAAGGGATGGTTTCCTAAATCAAATCCCTTTATCTTCGTCTTCTTGTCTCCTCTTTTTCCTGAAGAAATGCTTCCACCTTGGAGTAACCATTGCCGAAGCTTCTTCCTTATTTGGGTCATTGTGGTCATGGTATGGAGTGTATGGAGATCCAATCAGCCACATACATCGAGTGTAACAAGCTTCATCCAGGTTTAAAGTTCAACACTAACTCTTGATCTGAGTCCTTTTTGCTGGCTGGAATAGAATAGTCTAAATAGCACTTCACTGTTTTTGTCTGCCCTCGAGGCTTGTGTAAATATGATGCTTGTGCATTTTTTATGTTGTAGCTTTCCCCATCCCTTTATCTCCTTACCGGTACTATCCTCAAATAGGGGCATTTTAATTTGTCACTGTTGATAATCTTCCTTCCTGTTACTTCCATGTTATTGAAATCTGAAAATCTGCAATTTCCTTTATCGATAGCTCTATTGGCTAAGTAGTCTGCTAACTTATTTCCTTCTCTGAGAGTGTGTTGGAAAATATGTTGTTTATCTTTCATGCATGCTTTAATTTCCTCCACCATATCTGCTATTATCCATGGGACTAACCACTGTTCTTTAAGTACCTTGCACATAAGCATTGAGTCAGTCTGAATGATGATTTGATTATACTGTGACTGTTTGCAATGTTTACATGCTTCTAAGATAGCAGTAGTGTTCTCCATACTTCCTCCCTTTGCATACTTGATGTCTCCTCTATCATTTCTTAGGCAAAATGCATAGGAACTTAGGCCTGGGTTTCCTCGTGAAGCTCCATCGGTGTTGTACTTTAGCCAACCTTCTGGTGGGTATTCCCACAATACCTTTGTTACCTTCATCCTAGGCCTGTATTTTTCCAACTCACTTAACATACCTGGCCAATCACTAGGTCCTTTCCTCCTTGGATGTCTCAACTGCAACAACATGTACATGTTCCTAGTGATATTATATGATTCGTGACACTGATGTTTTCCTCCCCTCGTGTTTCATCCTATTTCTCCTTCTCCAGAGCTCCCAGATCACAAAGCTAGGTAGAGCCCTATAAAGAGGTCTTAGTGCTTTTTTTGTATTTGCTCCCCACCATACCATTATAACTTCTCTTAATTGGAGTCCTGATATGCTTAGACCTGCAAAAGAGCAAAAATAGGACCAGGTCCTGTTAGCAGTAAAGGATCGAAGAAACACATGAGTTAGTGTTTCCTGATCAGGTCTTTCACAGCACCAACATTTAGAAGGGCCTTCCAGTCCCCATCTTCTTAGTCTATCATCAACAGGAATTTTGAATTTCCAAAGTCTCCACATCATGAAGGCCACTTTAAAAGGAACCCCTTTTGTCCAAATCCACTTATAAATTTTGTTGGGTTCCTCTTTATGCCTTATATACTGCCATGATGTCTTAACAGTAAAAGATCCCCCTGAATCCAACATCCAGCAGGGTGTGTCTTTCTCCTCTTTGCCCGTAGGAGGGTGGATATGTTGTATAATGTATTCTGCTAACTCTAGAGGGAGAATATCCTTCAACATCTCTACATTCCACTCTCCCTGATTAGTCAGCTCTTCAACTTTTGTATAACTATCATCCCATTCAAAATCTTCTCCCGTGATGGTATACAGATCTCCCAATCCTGTCCAATTATCATGCCATACAGAGACTGATCCTTTCTTCATTCGCAATAGGATTTGATGCTCAATGAGGTCCCTTGCTTGAAGCATTTTTTTCCATACTTGTGATCCACCTCCCCCAACTTTCCACATAATTACATTAGCATGAGTGTTCTTGCAATACTTATTTCTCATGTATTCACTCCATATAGAAGGTTTGGTCCGAAAGTTCCACCATAGTTTACAAAATAGGGCCATTGATAGGTCATGCATTAATCGAAATCCTAATCCCCCTTCCTTCTCTGGTAGGCATAGGTTACTCCACTTTGTCCAGTGTCTTCCTCTTCCTCCAATGCAGTTGCTCCAAAAAAATTGCGACATCATTTTTTGGACTTGATTTAGCACATTGTGTGGAGGATTCATAACCGATAAGCAATGAATCGGTGTACTCTGAAGCACATGCTTGATTAGAATGGCTCTCCCTCCATAAGATAGCAATTTTCCTTTCCAAGACTGCATCTTGGCTCCAATCCTTTGCATCATTGACTCATAATAAGCCTTCTTCTTTCTTTTATAAAAAATTGGACATCCTAAGTATGTGAAAGGAAATTCTTTCCTTAGAATTCCTATTGCTACCTCTGCTACTATGGCATCCCCTCCTGAAACACTGTGGTGCAAATAAATAGCACTTTTCTCTTTATTCACCTTCTGGCCAGAAATATCTTCATATTTCCTTAATGTTTCAGTAATCATCTGCATTGTTCGTACTTCTGCTTTGCATAGGATAATCATATCATCCGCAAAGGCTAAGTGATTCACTTGCTGGCTTCCTCTTGGCATTCCAAACCTCTTGAATTCTTTCTTCTTCATTAGAGAATTTAGAGATCTTGACATGACCTCGGCTGCCAATATAAAGAGAGTAGGCGATAGAGGATCCCCTTGCTTCAGTCCTCTTGAGGATTTAAAAAATCCTTTAGGCTGACCATTTAAGAGGATTGAGTACCAGTTGGAACTGATCAATCTGAACACCATATCAATAAGCTTTTCACCAAAACCAAGTCTTCTCAATACCTTGGTCATAAATAGCCATTCCACTCTGTCGTATGCTTTCATCATGTCTAGTTTAATCACTAGATTTGGAGACTTCCCTCTATTCCTTATTTCTGTTATAATTTCTTGAACCAATAACACATTCTCCGCTATGCTTCTCCCTTGTACAAAACCAGCTTGTTCTGAGGAAATAGGTTTCAGGTCTGAGAAAATCTTCACCGTTACTTTTTTTGGAATGAGAACTAGATTCGTGTGAGTAATGAACCGTGGTAACTCCGCACCACTGAAGAATGCCTTGACCATATTACAAATATCCTCTTTTGTGGTATCCCAAGTATGTTGGAAAAAAGCTCCACTCATACCATCTGGTCCTCCTGCACTGTCTTTGTTTAAGCCCATTACTGCCCTTTTGACCTCCTCCATTGTTGGCATGCTTTGCAACTCTTCATTCATCTCATCATTTATCACTACTGGTAATTCCTTCAGTAGCTCAAAATCTTCACTGTCTTCTTGCTTCGTGAACTGTTTTTTGTAAAAATCTATTGCTGCTTCCGCAATATCTTCTTGTTGGGTTAACCACTCTCCTTTCTCTTTTTGGATTTTATTTACCCTCAGCCTTTTCCTCTTTCCCTTAAGAATGGTATGAAATAATTTGGTATTCCTCTCTCCCTCTTTGAACCATTCCATTCCAGCTTTTTGTTTCCAAAACTCTTCCTCCCTTTGTAATTGCTTCCTTAGCTCCGCTTGAGATTTATGCAATTTTTCTCTGTTAGTGCCTGAAGGATCCAGTTCAAACTGTGTTTCGTTCACTTTAATAACTTCTTCAAGAGTGATTATCTCTTGAAAGATGTTACCAAAGGTCTCTTTGCTCCACTGAGATAACGCCTTCTTAACCCTTTTTAATTTATGATGGAATAAAATAAAAGGGTCTCCTTCAAAATCTGCTTTCCACTGCTGATTGACCAATTCCATGAATGATTTCTCCTTTATCCAGAAGTTTAGGAATTTAAATGGTCTCTTCACTTTCTCGCTACTGGTTTTTTGAGTAATTAACAATGGAGTATGATCAGAACCACTCCGCACCAAATGTTCAATTTCTTGCCCGGGAAAGTGTTCTGCATTTTCTCGTTGCATAGAACTCTATCCAATCGTTTGAAAATACAGTCTTCATCTGTTCTCCCATTCCACCAAGTGTATTTGATGCCCTTGAAGCCTTGATCCTCTAAATTGCATACATTAATGCAATGATTGAAGTCCACAACTTCTCCATTAGTTACTGGACGCCCTCCTAATTTCTCTTCTTCATTTCTAATCACATTGAAGTCTCCTCCGACTAGCCAAGGAATCCCATAGTTGTAGTCTTTCACTTTGTGTACATTTAGCATATACCAAAGATATTGACACTTCGATGTCCAGCCCTTGATTTTGCACTTTGATAGTCAAAACCTGCTCCTCATCCCTTTCTATTGTGTATTCCATTAGTTCATCAATAAAAGCCCAAATTTTCCCATTTATATTAACTACTGCATGCTTCATATCCAGCTTCTTTCTGTACTCCTCTAGTTCTTGTCTATCTTCAAAAGGTTCCATTAATCCCACAAAATAGAATTGGTATCTTTTATGCATATTTACCAATCTAGTAAACGCCTTTTGGGTGTTTACCGACCTTATATTCCATATTAGAGCTCTCATTGATACTTGGTATTTTTTATGATCATTCTCTTTGACCTTGATGATGCCTGAGCTGCATTTAGTTCTCCACTGCCTTGCCTTTTTGATTTAGCATGGACATCTTTTAGCTTTCCAGCCTATTTTGGTGACAAATCCCCTTCTATAATAGCTGCTGCAATGTTTTGTACGAGATCATTCTTATCTCCATTAGCTTCATTTGTGTCCAATCGATCTTCATTTTCATCCCTTTGCATCGCCAAAGGAAGGACTTCCTCATTGTTATCTTCATATACAATTAAAGCCCGTTTTGTTTCCATTTCACTTTGCTCCTCTTCTTATTGTATTACTTTTTCCTCGCTTTGTTTATGTCCTGATGTCTCCTCCGATCCCTTCTCCATTACCTTGTCGTTGAACGTTCGCTTTTCATTGACCTTTTCTGTTGTTTCTTTTGGTTCACTATCTTTCTGCTTTGTGTTGAGATCTCCAAAGTTTTTGTTTGCCCATTCTTTCGTGCTTATCTTGGTTACACCTTCCTCATGTTCTTGTTTTTTCTCTTCCTCATCTTCTTGTTGTTCTTCTTCCTCCAATCTTTCCAGAGTCCCAAAGGGATTTTTGTCCTGAACATCATTCTCCCCTTTGATATGTCCATACTTATCCCTTTTGTATTTGTTTCTTCTCATCACTATCCATTCCTGTTTGTATTGCCTTTGACCAACTACCCTTCCACTTGACAAAATTCGATTCGGTTCTTGCCTACTGGGATTTGTTTTGTGTTTACTTCTTCCTCCCCCTTATTTCCTTCATAATCTTCATTTCTTTTTTCATATAGTTCTGGGTGTATTGACCAACAACTATGCTCATCGTGACCTTGAAGATGACATTCCTTGCAATATTTGGGCATATAGTCGTATTGCACCTTCACCCACTTGTACTTAGTGTCTCCTGTGATATCATCCTCCTCCGTTATTCTAACCCGTTATGGTAGCTTGGCTGTCAGATCTACTTCAATTTTGACTCTAGCACAATTGGGTCTCGTTTGATTTCTTGTTGCCATATCTACTGTTAATGGTTTGCCCACTGCTGCTGCAATTGAAAAAAATTGCCTCATTTGCAAAGAAGTTTGGGGGAGGATCAGGGAAAGAGATCCATGCAACTCCTATTGTTGTTTCTACATCCGGCTCAAACCATGGATCCCATTTAAGAGTTCTCATCTGCCAATAATTATTCCTAGCCTTCACGTAGTATGTTGCTGTAGATAAAACTTGCACGTAGTCCTCCAAGTTATTGAGTCTGATCAAAATATGCCTGGAATCCAATACTCCTATCGTGCATTCGCTTTTGATTCCACATTGTCCTGGTATTGTTTTCCTTAGTTCCATAATAACGGGTTTGCCATAGGAAAATTTGCCAATAATAGCATATTGCAAATTTTCCTGAATGACTAGCGATCGTACTTCCGATGCCTTCCATGTAATATTAGGTTCTCCCTGTAGCATGACCACTGGTTTGGGAGTGACTTTAGGTAGTGGTGGGTTCATTGGTTTTGGTTGGAGTATTTGAGCATACTGCATAATATTTTGGTTTCCATTGCCAATCTTTTGTGGTTTTATGGTATCATGACCATGTAAGGGTGGGAATTCCTCCGGTGGGAAAGTCCCACCGGTGGTGCCTGCCGCCATGACAACGTCGTCTAGGGTTTTACTTGAACATCTAGCTAAGTGCTAATTATTTTTATGTGCTTTATTCTGTTGCCAACCATTTGCAAATTTCTTTTACTGACACACTGGCCTCTTCACCCACTCCTTAGAAAGGTCACACAAAGAAGAAATAAATATATTTGATCGTGGAGCTATGTTGCTCTTACTCTTCAAAAATATCATCGGGTTTGGGTCGGATCCTCCAAAAGTAGTTCATTTGTGGAGGATCCAACATGGGTGCGACAAGATTTTTGGAGAGTCCGAGCAACATAGTCATGGAGCACATTTTTTGTTTGTAGTTTCTGGGTGCTAAGCAAGTTCTAAAGTGGTTTCACAAGACTGGTAACTGTAGTTCAGTAGTCGTAACTCGTAAGAAATTCATACATATATGTACAAAGTGGAGATATTAGCTAGTTTGGTCCAAGCTCCACAGTCGAACTGTCGAAGTGAGATAAGTTAATGAAGTAGCCAAAAATGATAAATGTGTGATTGGTTTTGGAGACTTGTATTGGAGTTAATCGCGTGGATAGATCATACAAAAGTACTATAAATGAAACAACTATCGTGCAAATGTCTCATGGAACGTAAGCTTTGTTTGGCTGCAGAAAAGGAGAAAATTGAGTAAAATGTGGAGTTAGTGAGTACACATTTCCTTTGTTTGGACAAGGGCAAGGGGAGTACAGTTGTTTTGAGGAGACAATTTATAGGTCAAGAAAATATTGTCTCATTATGTCTTTCCTCTTCTATGTTGCATACCAAGCCTGCTCTCTTCCTCTTCTTTCCCTTCTCTTCTGAGGATTTCAAACCAAGGATTAAGGATATATAGAAAATGAATTCAAGAAGATTTGCTTATAAGCAAATACGTAGTTTGAAGGCATGAAGTAGATTAGTGTTTGTCATCTTCTTTAAACTGAACAACTGGAGAATCATTTTCATTCTTGTTGAGGTTTCTATCATAAATATCAAGAACTATTAAAAAAAATTTAATACTAAGACTTAATTCTTTTTATTTCATTAACTTCCCTTTATTAGCTTTAACTGTCTTTAGTCTATGGAGTATTGGAAGTGTTCAAGAGGCATTGAATTGGAAGTTTTTTTTTGTTATTAGCACACTAACAATTTATTCCACTGTTTGGCCCCTTGAATGTTGTTGCACTAACAAAGTTATCATGCAAAATGGAAGTTAGTGAAGAATCGAAATTGTACCACTTGTGACAAGATTTTCCATGAAGTGAGGTACATAACTTCAGTGTTGGATGCTTACTTTGCTGAGTGGTTAATGTGATGGCTTCAGTTTGAGGTACATAACTTTGCTGGTTTGGCGCCCTTAGTACTTGATTAAATGGATAATATGCTGACAACTATTAGCACTCACTCGGCTAATTGGATGATTGGTCAACTCATTGCAAGTGATTCAGCGTCAATTGACGTTTGTCCTCTCTTTTGATATTGTTTAACGTAGTTATATGATATAACTGGATTATGGATGTGGGATTAGTTTCCATTCAATGTGTTCTAATCATATTTCATTTGTGTTAAAACAGTGGTCAAGTAAGAGGTGGTGGTTTTGGGAGGTCACGGGGTGCCAGAGGACGTGGTCGTGGATTTCGAGGAGGCAACAGAGGATGGGGAAGAGGAGGTCGTGGAGAAAAGGTATCTGCAGAAGATCTAGATGCTGATTTGATGAAATATCATACAGAAGCAATGCAGACGAACTGATGGGTCTGGTAGTAATGTTTGCCTCTACATCCAGTGCTTAGTGGAGCCACACCACACAACACCACAGACTCTCTGTGCAAGCCTTTCCTTTTCAAGTTGCAAGAAAGAAAGTACTTGTAGGAAAATTTCAGCCGTTCCTGTAGGGGTATTATGCTTATTTAATTTTTCCCTCGCTTTGGATTTGTGACTTAGATGGAGTGATGTAATCTACTCACTCTTTAATTTATGTAAGAGATGTATGATTATAGTGGAAATGCTAATCCTTAGCCCCTACCACGACAAGGCTTTGCCGATGGTGGCAGACGCCAGCTGAAGGTGGTGGTCTGTGTCCTGAAGTCAATAATGCGGGTGTCAATAGTGAGGCAGGTTTTGTCACTCTATTCTTTTCCCCCTGGTTTCACAATTGCAGTCTTTGTGCAATTAGCTTTACTCTAAGCTTCTATCTAGTTTTATCCAATGTTTGTAATAAGCTTTAAAAAGTTGACTTAGGAAACAGGTAATGGGATCATTATTGGGTGACTAAGTTGAATCATCTGAATGAATTATATCTTATTTCAAATATATGGGAGGAGTAAGCTGAATGCTGGTGTTGCGGGGATCACAGATTGCTCATTGTGCTGATTCTCGCAGAGAAAGAGGCTTCATCCTCATTCTGTGAACATGACGTTTGACTGAAGTGACACACTGCATTTTTACAGCTTTACAAAGCTTGTGCCTTGTACTGTAGAATTGCTTGGGTTTGCTGTGTTTGTTTGTTGATTATGTGCTATTGAGTCTTAAATGCCGCTTCCCGAAGTGGCTTGAATTTTCTTCAAGTCTAGAGCTTCATATGGCTTGCATATTAAGCTATTTCTAATTCAAGTTCAGTGATTAAATCCTTGGCACTGAATAGAAAAAATGATTAATAGGTACGAATATGGAATCCTAATAAGCGATTGGTCCAGAAGCTATATAAACTAAGAACCTGTTTCTTTATTTTTGTGTAAATTCTCGAGTTTTTACTTGCGATATTGATTCAGTCGTAATTCTCTCCAAGGAGAGTTCATGCAATTTCAAAATCATGTAAAAAAATTATAATAGAAAGAAAGTATGCATCTCTCCTAATAAAGCCCTTCGGATAGAATGTGATGATTTTAACCTTGTGAAGATTTGGATTAAAAAAAATTATTTTACTCTCTCATCCCTGAGAAGGTTATCAAATTTATGGAGTAGCAACTGTGTCCAGAGCTTTACTGGTATGGGATGCAAGTTTTTGAATGGATTCTTTCTATTTCCAGATGGTCTTTAATTATTGTCCCCCCAATAGGTGACTTCTTAATTTTGCCTCCGTTTTCAATTTAATGAAAATATGTAGGCCAAAGTATCATTAACTATGATCTAATTTTGCAAGACAAATTCAGAACTTTTGCTTTGTCTAACAACAGTTGTTTAGGAATATGCCTCTATCCGCATAAGTCTGTAGGAACTAAATTTGTGCTTTGCGAATATTTTCTTTTCAATGTCAAAAATAAAAAACTGCAAAAGAGGTAAGATTTGTTTGCTTGAAGGAACTGAGTGATTGAACATAATCAATTTGAAGATCCAGAACCAATCTGCTATCAACAAACTCCTATGGGCTCTCAGTGAAGAGAAAATAGATAACTTAGGTGCACACCTACTCACAATGGAAGCATCTTTGGATGATAAGGAAAATTTTCAATATGAGAATATTGGGACGATGGTACTCAGTTGATCAAGCATGGGAAGTTTCATATTAAAGAGGTTTACATGATCTAGCCAAAAAGCAGTGATTATCCTCTAGATGGCACTGCTGGAAAGAACTACTAAGATGGGGCATGCCAGTGATGATGTACATACATATGCATCTTGTATAAAAAATGTACACTAACTAAAAGCCTCCTATTCGAATGTTGTTTCTCAAATGGGTTGTGCAAAAAGCTATGCAATGGTTCAAGTGCAATACAAGTATCCGACTTTGGGAGAAAGAATTGCAAATGCTACAAGCAGAAGACCTATTAGCCACAACTGTCTATAGCCTCTGGATTGAGAGAAACCAACGGCTGCATCACAACAGAGCTACCATCTTCAAACATAAGGCTCAACACTGCTATTTGCTTTAAAGTTGACTTCTCTCTTTTGAGGTTTTGTGATTTCTTTGTTGTAGAATAATAGTTTCTTTTTAGCACGTTTCAAAATAAATGCTCTTTCCTTTTTTAAGGACTCTTCAATTCTAAAAAGTTCTCAACCACAAAATTTACTTTTTAAAATGTCGTGCCAAGTTAAAACCAGACAAATGGAGGGGTAGATTTTCAGTCTCTCAGAATTGCCCACTGGATAGTTGAGCCTTGTTTTCCAAGTCTACTTGGTGATTAATAAAAAGTTCTCTTCAATTGCACCCCTCAACACCCCCCTCCCCCCCCAAAAAAAAAAAGAAAAAAGAAAAAAAAGTGAGTTCCAAACATAAGCTAAAATCAGAATGAATACTGAAGAGGATCCTGGCATTTTTTCACCTACAACCTGAACTAAGAAAAGTAAAAGCACACAACTAGTATATCCGCTACAATAGAAATGAGAACAATTCTACATGTATATCGTTCTACACCACCATGCTTCCGAAAACAATAATTCCCAATATCTTAATTACATGCAGGCAAAAAACCTTTGATACATCAAGAACCAAACTTCTTGACTTTAAAAACATACAACATTACTCCGCACAAAGCTTAAATGTCGAACACCATTGGGCGACATCATTGCTCCTTTGGTCTACTCCTCACTTTATCCCAACTAGAAAATATTAACCTCAAAAGAGAATAGAACACGACCAGAATGCATGACTTTATAAAGTTCCAAAATGAAGAAGGCCAATACCAAGGATACAACAAACGGAAAAAGAGACTTATAATATGCCGAGGGTATCGTCCGACCTGAAGCAAGACATTAAATCACGTTAGAGGAAAAAGTGGAACTCTTAAGACGAAGAGGAAGGCGATAAAACTCCTAAGCTTGCGATATTCTCTAATGGCAATCATAAGCTTCCATGTTGAAAAGGAAATACAGAAACTAACAAAGGATTCCATTCTAAGAAGTTATCTTTGTATACCACCCACTTACAAAAATATCACCAGTTCCACCTACAGATTAGGTTTCTTCTATCCCGGACTTTTCTTCTCAACAGCTATGCACAAGATGTTACAAGCTAGTCCAAAAATATATGCAGCTTAAGGTTCAAGCTGTATTTCTGACTCTCAAAGAAAAAATCTGATAAAGACCAGAATATCTTTTATTTAAAGATACCCCAAAGGAATCTGAACTATTGTTTCTGTAATTCTTTATCTACTTCCTAGGTGCATTGTGCATCAGGATACTTTGCTACACCGTTAAATATTTCACACACAGATGAAAAGTAAATACATCTTACATCAATCCATAAAATTGTCCGGAATAAGACGAAGTAATGATATCAAATCATGAGCTTTATTCAGATAATGGAGAGATAACTCACAGGATATAGCAAATCTAATGCATCCCATGCTGCATGGCGGACAGCTCTTGTTGGGTACATGGGAGCACCTGGTGACGTGAAGCTATACAAGCAAGTTTTCAATCGTGTACTAGTAGTCATTCTCAACTCTAATCCTGCAGAGAGGTCATTGTAAATGTAACTCCATTCTTTACAAAACCCATATTTATTACAAATTAGCTACAAAACTTGCTTTACCTTGAAGGACCTTCAATTGGGAGAGATAATGCAACAACACTGGCTCCACTTTTAGTTTTTGAAGCTGACAACATAAGTATAAATGAGAACAAATACAGGAAGAGTAAGGAAATGGCTTGGGATGTTGAAGATACTTCTCTTACCTGATCAGCTAGTTCAGTGACAAATATATCTGCTGCACCACCAATCAAGAAAGCATTCGGGAAATCAGGGAATTGCCTTAAGAAACTTCCTAGTTTGTCACCTGCAGAAAGATTAAACATAAGCATGCGTACTCAACCTTCTATGCGAGGTTACTGCTAAGATCAACTTACCTAGGTTATAGAAAAATATGAACCTTGAGAGGAAGAGAAATAGATCTCTTTGGGCCTGACAAGATGAAGACCGCAAATGATGTTAGGACATGCCCACTAAAACAAGACTTGCTTTGGCACATAGGAAAAGCTGAGGGGGCAAACATCAGACCTGCAAAGGGATCTTCTTTAATCGGTCAGGAACAAGGGCAACTTCCTCGAGCAGATACTGTTACACGCATCCAAATAACTTAATTATCACCATTTGCTTTGATTGATCAAAAACAAACAAACAAAAACACCAGTTTTACTCCAAATACTTGAAGAAAATAGAAATCAAGTTACAGGTATTTGACCTTAAAAAGACTCTGGAAACGCCTTGTGTTTGTTTGGATGTCAATCCTGCAAAAAGGATATGTCAACCAATCACTTAACACATTTTAATGGTTACCCCCGTACTCCATCCCCATGCATATTCAGAGAAGTTATTCTGAAGCACAGAGAAAATGTTGAAATCCAGAAGAGCAGGAATATCTTTAAATCATAAACCTGTCAGACACTACAGTACAGTTGGATAGCAATATTAAGCAGTCTATTCTATGAGCATCAACCGGGTAAATCTCTGAGTAGCAATATATATTAACATGGATATGACGAATGCAAGAAGGTGAAGAGCTTTGCTGATACTGATTTGTAGGCTAGTAAACTGATCCAACATGATGATACATTTCGTTCATGCACGAGAAAATGAAAGCAAGAGCAACAACCAATGTTCCAGTATCAGCAAGAAAACTTAGGAAGGTTGCAAAAGGGAAACAAGCGCTGAGGAGTGTATAAATCAACAAGCAATCCAGATTGTTGCCTAAAGGATACACCCTATACAGTGAACTCTCATCAAATTCTAACCTTGATATATCTAAATTATAAAGATTTGTGCAGTTGAACTATTAGCAAGTTCAGCACTAGAATGGAAAACTCACATACTGGTAGCTTTACATACTTCAGACTCCATAGAAGCCGCAAATGAAAAGTGACATTAGCAATCAATAAAATCTTAAAATAAGAGTGGAACTCATACCAGAATACATTTGTAGCTCCTTGAACAAGAGCTGATGAGTATCGGAGGAGGACTTCAGAATTTTCAAGTTGAACCTCAAACAACTGCAAAGTAGAAAAGATTTTTTTAAAAAAAAATAGTAATTTCAGTATCGTTGCGTGAACAAAACACACACACACCTCTCCTCCTACCCCCTTTCCCGCTTTTCTTACTTGTGAGGTCCTTTTCCTTCCTCTTTTTTTTTTTTCAGAGTTGGGAGTGGAAAGGAAGAGGCGACTTTGTACGAGCATTTTGATAATATTTACAGATCACACCATGAGAATACGATCTTCACTCTTGGATATGCCTAAACACTTGAAGCTGTAAGAGTTTCTAAGAGACACATAAATATACCCCTCCAAGTCTTTAAGCAAAATGAGTGAAATCACTTGGAATGTCAATCCGGAGAGTAAACCCACTTTTGGCCCATTTGCTCACAGCATATACAAAT